CCATCGGGGATCTGCGAGCCGTTCAGCCCGGCCATAACCGCCAGCAAGGTTGAGCGTGCTCGTTACCACGGCAACAAGGCAACCGGAAACGGAAGGAAATGTTTCTTCACGTGCTCCAGAAGTTAATTTGTAGTCAAAGGACCCGGCTGTAGTTGGGACGGGCCCCTTAAATGACTTAGTATACTGTGTGTTGCCCATACTTCTTAAACAAATGCAAAACTTCTTTAAATATACATGGTGGCCATAAAGCTTGCGCTCTATTTTAAATTATACACGAACTTTATGGCCACCATGTGTAATCTGATATTTAAAGATTCTTTGAGCATTGACTTCAATGCTGTCCAGGCTGAAATCGTCAGCCTCAAGTGGTAAATGGTAGCCACTCCAATAATACATTTTAAAAGTGTGGTATATAACAGATCATGCCTTAGACTTCACAGTTAGTCAAATTCTCGGACAGATCTGGTACAATTTCAGCATCCAAAATGATCAGGGTACAGATGAATTATACTGAGTTTAATTCACCTAGGTAATTGTGTAGCTAAATCGGTTCTCCTCTAAGGACAAATATCACTATAGCAAGAACTCCTGCCATTCACTTGAAAGCTATTAAGTTGAACCATAAGAAATCGCTCTTTTTGTAATTTGAAAACTTTCAAATGTACCAATTTCATGTTTCAACTTAATACTTTTTTCTTTTCTAAAGCAGAGTGGGACTGACAATTTATGAAGAGCAAAGGGCTAAGGGGTGAGCAAAAAAATAATGCTCTTGTAAATGCCTGGGTAGAATGAGTAGAGCTCACACTGAGAACAGCAAGGAACAATTGAGAAGGTTATGAATATGAAACTGGCATTATGAATCATGTAGATAAGGTTTCAGAATCAATGTAGAAATTAACTGACTTCTAAGATCATCTCTACTATTAATCACTCTTAAAGATCAATTATGAAAATGAAACATCATCTTATACATGTTCATATATTCAACTTAAAAAATGAAACAAAAGAAAACCATGGAAATTTGTCAATTGTTTATTGTTTCCACTCCATAACACCATAATTTTGTTAGGGCACAAAATTTTCCACTGGAATTTGTATGCTCTTATAAAACATTTGGTATGTGAGGAATTTTTGTTAAAGCATTGCCTTGGAAAACCTACTGAAACACCCCCCAAAATTACGGAAAACTACTCATACGTTACAAATTTTGAGAGTAAGCCATTAAAGTAGAGCACATAATCTCTGAAATAATTATTAAAGTCTAGATAAGCTATATGTTAACTGAGTTCTGGACTTGATACTCCCTACTCCCTGGATCATATAATCTTGTAATACAGGATACTTTCAACATAACAGTAAAGTACAAATGATAACAAGGGACAGGGAACACAGGCATTATAAACACTATAAGATGTAACTTGCCCATTCAGTGTTGAATTTTTTCATAAAACTTTCTACGGCCCAACTACTTATTATAATTGTTTATGAGTTTTCTCAAAAGAAAAGTTATATTTATAGTTATAAAACAAAAAAAGCTATATTTGTTTTAATTATAACTGAAAAGTGTAAAAACTTCTACATATAAAAACTGTAAAGATGCCAAAGGCTAAAGATAAAACAAAGTGCCAAAAAAAAAAAAAAGTTAACAAAGCAAGTATGATTAAAAAAAATCATTATCAGCCATTAAGTATTCCATCCTGTAATTTCATAAATCAAAGCTTTCAACTGTCTGGACTCATATGTGACTGTATTCTTTCCAATATGCAATTTTTCTTCTTCCAGGGGTTGTTCTATTACAGCAGGTATGTTTTTGCCATAAAGTTCACAGTGTTCTAGAAACTGGACACATTCTTGAGTAACACTGTCACGAAGCACTATCAT